CAGTTTACTGTATCGTTACTTTTACACTTAGCTATATTACGCTAAAAAATGCTACTCTTGGGCCATTTTAGATGTACAGTAACATGCTAAGACTACAAGCACCAGAATGTGTTAGGAAAGAATGCTAACTATCACAACTTATCCAATCTGTTCACTGTCACGGATCACACTTATGGCACGATGAACATGGAGGGAGCTGGAGGCTTTGTAATAACTGGAACAACCCAGTATAACATGATTCCTCTTACTGGAAATATCAATCACAGTGCTCCATTGTGCCAAAGAATTTATATCTTTATAAAGAATATTTTCACTTTATTTCCCCTATATTCATGTTAGTGGTGAAGCATCTCACTGAGTCACTTCACACCTTACAGTTTTCTAGGGTACAAAAAGTTATTTTTAGAAATGTCTATAAAGTACTTTAGGGCATATACCAATAATCAAATATATTCATTTAACATATTTACAGTCAACAACAAAAGTGATGTCACTGTGCCAGAACTGGCTCGGAGATATCATTCCCTTCCTGCCCTGAAAGGTGGTCCATGCTCAAACCACCAGGACATAGGAAAGGGAGAAAGCAGAGGGGGTGATCTGGATTTGCTAGGCTAAGCAAGAGTGAGTGTTCTGCTATGTTTCAGTCCCATCCTATCAAGGCTAGCATCCACACCCCTCCCCTCTCTCTCACTCTCAAACACACACTATAGATATTTGTGAGGGTGAGTAACGTATCGTCTCACATAGCGCCTCTTGAGCTACCAAACCTTAGTAAATGGCTTTGGCCACAAAATTTTAAAGGTAATGGGGTGTAAAGGCTTAGGGATTGATTCCCTTGTTTTCCTCTTATTTCGTTTGGGTGCCTTATATGAACCACGACCTCGTGATGTTTATGAATCTCGAAGCATGGTTTGGTTGAAGTCAGCTTAAGTATGATGGGCCATTTGGCTCCACCCCTCACAATCATATACTTATAGAAATTATTTATAGTTATATCTGTTTAAAGTTTGAGATACAAATTGATTTAAAGTGCATTGTCAGTCAACCTAATCATATTGTTTTCCGAAACTTAGTGAAAATAAATAATGTGGAATAAAATCCAGTGAATGTATGCAGAGGTACATTAATATAATGATGGTGGAGTAAATAAGATGTAGGAGCTGCAAAACTTATACTATTAACATATTATTTAGTGTCAAATTATTTGGTGACGTGGGCAGATTGGGCACTTCCCAGCAAAATCCCTTCCCAGCTCATACTTGCTCACTCACCCCGTGAAGGGCTGAATCTAGCTTCACTCTACCCAATACTAAGAGAATGTTCCCTTAGCCTCTACCTATTCTTACACCTTCATTTGTCATTTCAGTGGCTGGTGTCTAACACCTTGTTGGTGTTCCTCCTCCAAACTATTCAAGAAAGCCATTACTTTCGATATCTTTGGTTCAATCTGTATTTTACATATTCATTTTGTTATTTTTAGTAACAAAGTAATTGTAAATACTTGGAAAGAATACTGGCATATGAAATACTGTTGTTTGTATTATTTTTTTCCAAATAACATATCAGAAGTTTACCATTATCTAAATAGTGGATCCAGGTGAGAGAGAATTGCTGCTTAGGATAATGCAGAGCCATGTATTAATATACAGCTCTAGGATAATGCAAATGAAGGATATTTTCATCTGAAGAATATCAATATGAATAGTCAGTTCCAACAATATTAAAGTATTTTTTATATAGAAAATATGATAAGGAATTAAAATAAAACAATGTGATAAGACTTCATGATAATTATTTTCAAAATGATATATGATAACTTATTTCTTAAAGCAGGCCTCAAACATATCCATCAAATTAACAACTAAACAGGGATAAAAGCGCTCCCTCTCTCTCTCTCTCTCTCCATATATATATCAGTCATTTTTGCACTTCTTTGCCTAATTTCCATAATTTCCCTCCTCCTCACATTCGAACCATCCTATGTCCTGGTTGTTTGAACATGGGCCTCCTTTCAGGGAAAGAAGGGCCTAATCTCTCTGAGCAAGGTCTGAAGGCGACATCACTTTTATTGTTGGCTGAACTTGTACATGCAAACAATATAATTCATAATGTTCTGACTCACAACTTAAAGCTGTGTTTCAAAGAGACATGAGGACATACACACACAGGAACCATTCTTGTGTCTGAGACCTACTGCATGATTATGAACAAACCATGCAGATCTGTTGTAAATGGATGAATAAAATTTCTATGAAGTTGGTA